GTTCTATTGTACGAATGGGTGTGCTAACTTCCATGAAATTAACCTTTAACCTTCCTTGAATGCTTCAAAATTCTATTTACAAATTTTATCTCATTCCTTTAAACAACAGATCGTATATATCAGTATATATATATAGACATGCAACACTAAAGAAATGATTTTCTAATTTGTTTCCCGATCCCGCTGTTGGTTTAATCCATAAATGAACTAGTCCAATACTAATGAATAACGCAATTCAACGTCATGTTCTCCAGATGCATGATCTATTATATGTCTCTGTTCAGATCCACACAATTTGTTTGAAAGCAGTGCAGATTTTTTTCCACGAAGGCCTAAACCTTGACTTTATTTCATTCTCAAAATGTGATAATGGAACCCCCCCCCTTTTAAGGAAAAAAAAACATTAATGTACACACCACTATTTACTTCAGGGGAGAAAATGTGTACATTCAATTACACCCATCTTTTAAAATGTTACTATTGTGTTGTGCATAATGCATAATTTGACAACAGATTTTATAAAACGCGTTACAATGTAGCTTGAAATCAATTTAGATCCAAGGGCAGACCCCACCCCTACAACAGACCCCCCCCCCCCGAATAATGTTCAACTCTCTAGTATGCAGTGTAGAGATGATTCTTCTACAAGTTAAATAAAATCAAGGATCATTTACATAAGGCTCTCAAAATATATAATAGTAAGGACATATGCATATTTTAAGGTTCATCGATACTCTGCTAAGAGAGATAACTCTTAATGACATAAATGTCTATTATTTCTGTATAGGTTTGCAAAGTTGAAGTGTCTTTTTTGTCCAATTTTGCCCCGCAAGCTATACTATAGTTGTTTGTATTTAACTCATAAAATACATTTCTTTTGGAAAATCATTATGGTTTAAGCAACATTTTATATGAGTGAGCAGAGGGTTTATGAACCTTAAGCCCACATGCAAAAGTATTGCTCAAAAGGTTTATCACTCAGACCAAAATAAAATTATAGTTTGTTTGGAATTGCCTCCCGCCTCATTGAAATGCCTCCTTCTGAAAAAAATTTATTGACCAAAAGTAGAAAGATTTGTTCTTTATTTAATCAATTTTTTGGCCAAAACTTGTATCACATGCATCATACAAAATACTGAAATATAGTGTCAGATCTATGTAAAATTAGTTTTTTTTTTGTTGTTGATGGTAAATACTTTTTTTTAAGTCAAAAAATGTATTTACTGTGTACTGAGATATTTATCAAATATTTAAAATTTATCTTCAATTAAAAAAAAAAAAAACAAAAATAATTTCCCTCCCTCCTATGTCTGAAACCCTTCAGGCGGCAAATCCAAACAAACAATTTTTTAATGATGCCCTCATCTTACAGATATTGATTGATTTAGCCAGGCAAGCTTTTTAAAAAGCTGTTACTTGACTTCAGTTGCGGTTGGTAAATAATACAGTCGCCACTGGATTCTAGCTAGGGTCAGGTAAATACATATACTAAACTTTCAGAAACCTTCAAAATTTGATCTTTCTAAAATAATGTTTCAATATACATTTAACAAAACTTCTAAGTGTTCAATTTAATAAATGTATTTATTTAAAAACTAAATGATAGAATTTTATGATATTTTCATATTCAATTCAATTACAATGAAGCGCATTTCAATTTCACATTTCCCCCTTTAGTTTATCATTAGTTTCCATAAAAATTTACTTTAGCAAACTCCACCCATCAATAAATCTCTGTTAGAGCATTTGAACCCTAGTGAGGCATTAAATTTCTACGGACAATTTTCCTTTTGTATCCTCTCTCTCTCTCTCTCTCTCTCTCTCTCTCATTTTCAGTATACATGTACTTTGTTTCGATGGTTTATAGTCTGATAAGTTTAGGTATGAAGCATCGCGGAGATGTATATGTTAATATAACAGAGATTTATTGATGGGTGGAGTTTGCTAAAGTAAATTTTTATGGAAACTAACGATAAACTAAAGGGGAAATGTGAAATTGAAATAGGGGCAAACTTTAATAATTATCATTGATCATCAATAAGTATCGGTCAACAAGAATGAAAATGTCTAGAACATACATGTACATAACTTACAATAACTTTAAAATGAAAATGAAAAACTTACAATAACTTTAAAATGAAAAATGAAGTCCAAGTTTTAAAAAAAAAGTCACAGCTAAATTGCTTTTCCATTATATTATTTTTTTTTATATGAAGATTAAAAAAAATCCTCAAATGTAATGTTAAAGGTCAAGGGAAGGTCAAAGTCATTAAATGTCATTTCTTCTCACAAAGCTTTGCTGATGTATGAGGTCTCATCAAAATATATGAACAGTAATTTTTTTCTTTTTAAACCGTGAATAAAAATAAATAAATAATAATAATCAGGTATAACAAAACATTTATTGACTATGTTCTCAGGAAATGCGCGTTTTGTCGACCCTCGAACCAAACTGTCTGCCTAATGTCTAGCAGACAGTTTGATTCTTGGGTCCGACAAAACGCATGTTGCCCTTGTACTTAGTCAATAAATGTATATTAGTACATAAATCAAAGGAATTGTGTATCTTGTTGTAGTTTACTTGTGCATCAAGTTTCATTAATTTCAGATTAAACATTTTAAAAATAATTGTTACAGCAAACAGTTAGCTGAGCTCTTCTTGTCTACACCTTGTATATAGTTAATGAAAGGCAAAATGGACCTTAAAAGGTTACAAGATTGATTTTCGATTTTGATAGTTATGACCCCCTTAGTGACACTTACATGTAGGACCCAGAAACAAGGAAATGATTATAATTGTAAAGAAAATTTTTAATTTATGCTGTATTTTCAATGCTTGATAAACTTCGACCCATATATACATGTATTTGACAATTGTGTTGAGGCTTGTAGCATAACTTTACAAATACATTTTGTTTGATACATGATATCAGAAACAAGAATATTAGAAATATTGTCTAGATTGCAACAATATTTCTCTGATTCATTACCTTCTAAGAAATAGAAAAAAAGGTTAAATAATGTTGTGAACTTTTATTTCATATTTTTACTTCAACATTTCCACAAAATGGGACATACTAGTATATAACAATACCATTGGTGTCTTAACAAAAAATCATATCTTTCATAAAAGAATATGCTTCTTCACACAGAAAAGGGAATATTTTCTAAAAAATAATTTGAATTTAAATCCTTTTTAATTCAGTTACTTTGATAAATCTATTCATATTATTGCTTTGAAACAAAATCGAACCTGTAATAAAAGGGGTTGAAAAAACATATCGAGATTCAAAAGTTGAACAAAATAAAACATGCAGGGTTTCTTAATCAACACATTTGAAGCACATTACGATTCAATAACTGAGGTAGAATTTGGACAATTCAATCTCATTGTCTGGTCTATTAAAAGCAGTCATTCTCTCTTACATATTCCAAACAAACACAATTCAAACCAGTTAACCATGTAAAATTGACATTTTTTTGTAATTTCATGATTTTTTCAAATTAAAATCAATGCCAAAGGTTTTTATCTAAAGGATTTAACCCCCACCTCCCCCCAAAAATGTGTATTTCAGGGACATTTCTTCCATCAAAATCATTTATTTCAGGGGAAAAAGAGTACAATTTGGCTATCCAGGAAGTATATATTGTAAACCTCATTTTCCATGAAAAATCAGAAGAAAAAAAAATTAAACGTAAAACCTTTAAAACAGTGAATCTTTTATCTAAAACCAGACATAGAACGTAGATAAGAATATTAATTTTAGCAACTTTATGGGAGAATGAATATATCTATCAGAAATCAGGTTTTTTTCCTCATTCATATCCAGACATTCAATACATTTTACAGATACACACATTGCTGTCTATCTCAAACAGATCTGATTGTTTCCAAAAAAAAAATTAAATAATAGGTTTCAAATAGTACAAACCCTTCAGCCATTTTTGTTTTAATTAAATACTTGCTGAACTCAAAACATGTATAATATATACATGCATTCAAATAATTTAAATGAAATAAAAGTGATTTGCAAATGCCTTTTTTGAAACTATAATATGAAAGTTTGATGATTAATGATTATTAAACCTGAAAAAATGAGCATACAATACAATGAAGCAGAGATGAATTCCCCCATCTTCGCTAGCCAAGGGTTTCTGATACGCTACTCTCCTCATAAACCCTTGGCATACGGCGAAGGCAAAAGACGGGATTGTTTTCCGTCACGTGATCTCGAATCTATCAGGTACGCACAGATTGCGTCATCACCAGAAATAAAGACACATGTTAAAAAAAATTAAATAAAATTTTTTTTCAAGAATAATTAAGAAGCAGTAATTGAGTTATGTTTATTCATTATTTATAGAACAAATCTGAAGCTTCAATATAGATTCTTAATCACATATTTAGAAGATATTGGATGACACCATGGCTATTCATAGAATTGAATGTTATCTTACGGATCGTTGTTTACTTGCGTTTTTCATTTCCGAGATTAAAGAGTGAAGATGTATCCCGAACGCAAATATCGTCATTTACAAAAAACAATTGCTGATTGGTCGACCTGGGTGTACTGAAATCTAATCAGATCTCTGGAAAAAAATCCCAATTTCTATGAACACCGTAGGCCAAGGGTTTATGAGGAGAGTAGCGTATCAGAAACCCTTGGCTAGCGAAGATGGAATTCCCCATGACAAGGAAAATGTATACAGTTAACTAACATACATGACAGACTGAGTATTTTTTACACATTTATTTACACTGAAAAATAGACAAGGAAAAAATTGTGTATCACAAAAAAATAAATAAACAGTTACAATTCAATTGGCCAGTTATACCCCCCCCCCCGACCCTGAGCATTATCAAAGGGCTATACAATCAACAGATAAATGTGTTTCCTTAAAATGAAAGAAAAAAAAGATATCAACAAATCTGACAATTCTTAAATTAAACTCTAGAAAAGATTCAACAAAAATAATGGATTTCAATGACCTTTGATCTTTCATGCTTCATAGTAATGATGATAGTGATGATGATAGTGATGTTCGTAAATGTAATGTTGTTCATGCTTCTGAACCACTATTTTGTCCCCATCCACATCACACGCGTGTTCTCGTTCAATCCATTCCGCCACTTGCTGCATGGCCAGGTCATGATCCTTGTCTCTATGGCGATGTCGCCTGTGATAGTGGGACATTGAATCGGGAACATGCATGGGCAAGCTCACTTGCCGAAATCGTCCGTGTTTGTGCGGTGACCCTTTGTGATGCCCTTTGGGTGACCTTGTCTCTGTTTCCTGGGGATCAAATGACCTTGACCTCGAATGTTCTGTCTTAGCACTGTCTAAATGCTGTTGTTTGATTCTCTGTGTTTCTCGCTGGATGTTATCACATTTCTTGGTATCCTGACTTTTAGATCGCGGGGAAATTACACTGTCTTCGATCCTAGCTGATTGTCCCGTGCTGTTGTTAATGTTTTGCGTGGACTGGGTGTGGGCATTGTGCTCAATCCCGGCTAAGTCGAGGTAGTAGTTTCGCCTGTCTTGACTTTTCTTTGCTCGCTCCTCCTGTATGTTATTGGTGGTGGTGGTGGTGGTGTTGCTAGTTTGATTGTTACAGCTCGTCTGATTGAAGCAGTGTCCCCGGTGGCGCCGCTTGTGGTGAGAGTGGTCGTGATTCTCGACAATCAATATGGTGTCTTCTACAAAAAAAATATTCATTTTTCAAAAATAATCATATATGTTTACAAATCCAATAAAATGAATTCAAGGAAATGGCTCTATTCTTCCTGGATATCAGTCAAACATTTAAATTTTATAACAGCAATGTTGAACTACCCTGCTAAAGTATTTTATTCTCTACACAATAAAATAACCTTTGAAAGTAGTCTCTTTTTTATGAAGTTAAATTAACTACTCTGTCTAGAAGTTGGAAATTAAAGTCTGTTTGTCAAAGTGAAATGATATAAAAGAAGGAAATAATCAGTCATTTCAAAAACATACAATTAATCTGACTTATGATTACAATTAATCCACACTCTGGAACATTCACCACTCCACAGCATGGTGTGTATGTGTTTACATGGAACCTTTACTGTAATTTGGGCGGTGTTATTTTTTTGCAAGTTGTTGTCAACTCCAATGCTGTTGGGGCCATGGTCGCGACGGCCAAGGGTGCAACAAACGTAAGAACTACAACAGGGGTGGTGGTGGTCAATCAGGGAGACGTGGTGTTTGTCCGATCTCATCCTACTGAAAGACATGTCGGAAATCACTTTAGTGGTCCCAGTTGGAGGTCGTCCTTTAACCTTTAATGGACTGAAGATATATTAAAGTTAAAACTTAAAAAACATGAAAATTAAAAACAAATCATGAAATAACAGTTTTTATTAACCTGAGCTCATAACAGAAGTAGAAGTGTAGAAGTCCTGATTATTAATCACAAGGAATAATATTTTTTATGCGTCCGGATCGATAGATCCCGGGCGTATATTGTTTTTGTCCTGTCTGTTTATCTGTTTGTCTGTCTGTTGTCAAATTTAACCTTCGCCATAACTTTTGAACCATAAGAGATAGAGACTTCATATTTGGTATGCATACTTCACTAATAAAGTTCTTTCAAATGACATCAAGGTCAATGACCTTGTGATCTTGACTGTGACCTAAATGCTAAAAATAGCTTTTTCCACAGTTTGTCATAACTTTTGAACCATAGGAGATAGGGACTTCATATTTGGTTTACTTACTCCACTAATAAAGTCCTTTCAAACGACGGCAAGGTCAATGATCTTGTGACCTTGACTGTGACCTATATGCTAAAAATAGCTTTTTACATTTTTTGCCATAACTTTTGAACCCTTGAAGATAGGGACTTCATTTTTGGTATGCATACTCCACCGATTAAGTTCTTTCAAATGACACCAAGGTCAATGACCTTGTGACCTTGACTGTGACCAGCATGCTAAAAATAGATTTTTTGAACTTTGTTTCCGCCGGGCGCATAGTGTTTCACAAACACATCTTGTTTATTCTTGAAAATAGTTTCCTTTGAGGTAGTTCAACATAAGTTTACCTTAAAAAAATCATACAAAGATTTGGTATCTCAGTTATGGTTATTCATACTTTGCTTCTTCAAGTAAACCAGTCCCCAAGATCATGAAACAGACTTAGACTTAAGTCTAGACTTAGACTTAGACTTTAGTCTAATTTTCAATCAGCTGTAAGATGGATATTTGGATCAATCTCTAAACCAGTTAAGACCAAATTTGTAAAGCAATATTGAAAAATACATCAATTTTGGTCTGTTCGATGAAAACAAACATTAACATTTTAATACAACATCAAATATTTTGACTTAAATTTAGAGTGTCTCATGATTCCCTTACATTAGCTAAGTCGGTAGAAAGCCCGCTCCTTGATTGGAATGTCATGAGTTCGCATCTCGGCCCCGACTGATCTAAGTCGATAAAAAGGTAGCAACTTGGTAGTTTCTTCGCTAGGCGCACCTTGAAGTGAAAGTTGTGGGTCCATTGGGTGAGACCTTAAAACCGAGGCACCTATTACAGCAGGCGTTGGCATGATTAAGGACCCTCACTACTCACTGGCCGTAAAGGTCAACATTTGAGACTTATCACCGATATTTGGTGATGTCTCTATATGAGTGAAATATCGGTATCTCGAATGAAACGTAAAACAACATACAATCAATCAATGAACTCGGGAAATATTAAAATGGTTTTGCAAATGTGTTTCAAACGTTTTACAAAGAAAGGTTACCTTACATATAATTTTGTATACGTACAAAAGTACGTATTACATTTAGCTGTGTATAAACTCGTTTAAACACCTTTGGCGGGAAAAAAATTCCGTTTAATCAGGTACAATGCAAAAATCCTAAATTGCACATAAATATATCAATAAGAGCATAAAGAAATGCTCTTAATCAAATCTATGCTAATTTGTGGTCATTTTTACTAAAAATATTACTTCTTAAACATTAGGTAAAATACTAGTATATGACAAAATTTGCATGTATACACTGTAAAAGTATTGCATTATCAGGAATACTACCTTTATGTCACACAATGCTTATCATTTTTCAGAAGAAATAGAACACTGTCAAACTTTGATAACTCAGTTGCAACGGATTCGGAATGATTTAAAGAATATTATTTCTAGTGTTTCTTGTTAAAATATCGTCGGCAAAATTATGCGAGGAAAGACTTGATCACATGGAAAATCTTCTGGACAACCTCGTGCTGAGAATGGAAGACAAAAACAAACCATATTCAACACCAAAAGAGTCCATAATTGTAAAATATCATATACAGACGCCTTTTCACTTTGCACTGAAAAGGCATTTAAGTTTTTCTTTGTTCATTTTTACTACTTTTTAAAAACAGCCCTGTATAATGAAGGGTTTTTTAAGGGGAAAAACACTAGTACGTGGTTTTAAAGCAGAACCAATAAGCTATATATGCGCTACCAATTTTACTTTAAGGGCTAGAAATCATACAAAAAACTTTCAAACTAAAAACTTTTTGATTTATTTATTTTCTTAAAATATTTTGGGGAATCTCCTTCAACCCACTAAATACGAAAACTTTGCCTAAGAAGCCCTTGAAAGGCATTGCGGCGACCTTTTATGTCTATTAAAAAAGCATTAATTTCTTCTATAGAGTCGCCCGCATGGCGCAAAAGTTAGAGCATCTGCTCCAGAGTAGCGAAGTAAGGAGTTGATCCTTGCGTCACGGGTTCAAATCCCACTATGGGACGTGGAAACGGTACTTCGGATGAGACCGTAAAAACCGAGGTCCTGTGTAGGTGCTGGCACGAAAAAAGAACCATCCATGCTCAATGGCCCTAAGTGCCTAGTATAGGACAAAAGTTGTAGCCCTTCACCGGTAAGTGGTGGCGTCTCCATATGAGTGAAAAATTCTCGAGAGGATAGATGTTAAACAACATACAATGATTGACAACCAATCATTTTCTTGCACAGTTGATCCTAATGTTTTAACGCATTCTGAATTCGCATTATATGAATTGCAATATGAATTGAAGATGCATAAAAACACCTTTTTGATTGATTCTCTGTTGTTTCACGTCCAATTCGAGAATATTTAACTCAACAGTTTATTAGGAGGCGTAATAACGCCACTTACTTTGCGTTGTAACGCCGTTTTGACAGACTCTGTGTCATTTTAAAGGTGTAACCTGTTGAGGGGTCGTACCTGGTTGATTCCAGGATCTCGGTAAAGATGATATTTACAATAAATAATTTTCCTCTTAAAAATGATTAGATAAAATAATTGGCCTGCAAATATATACAAATAGGGTCCTTTCCTTACTTAGGGGAAAATCAAACTTGATTGTCGGCCTTATATTTACAAAATCACTGGTTCGCCCAATAGCACCGGACTGACACCAATATTGCCTTATTCAGGCTCGTAGTGTCAGTCACGGCGCTAAGTCCAATCCCCTAGTGGTCAGCCTCTGACAACAGAAGATACTGAATTGTCCTTATTCAGGACGCACAGTCATCCACTGCGATCTGAGACCTACACTATCCTAAAAAGCCTCAGAGGGTTGACTTGCCTCTATGGTCGGCCTCTAAATGGTTAGTCACAAACCAATACTACAAATCTATTGTGGCAAGCCTTAACCAATAGGCAATTCACCTAGTATTGTCAAATAATTGTGGCAAGCCTCAATCTTAGGCAATCCACCCAACTAATCTTATTTCGGTCTTCTTCTCTCCGTTGCTTGGACTCAAAAGAACCCTGCAGCTTAGCTGCGCTTGCTTATATACCTTTGTTTAAGTCACATGATCAGCTGAGGTCACATGATCAGCTTCAGCCAATCAGAGATCCCAAGGCCCGACTTGCATAATTGGAATACACAAACCCATTAATTGTTACAAAGGCGTATGAACGCTCCTGTGAAAGCGCAATATAGCCTTTGAAATGAGAAATAATGACATTCACTTTGCTTAATACTGTATACAGGGAAATTTTCGCCCCCGTTTTATTTTCGCCCCTTTCGCCCTACTCTCATTAGGGCGAATTTAAAACGGGGTCAATTCAAAGAATACAGTAAATTTCTTAAACAAAACTATGACTGGGCGAATTTAAAATGGGGCAAAATTGTTTGCAAGTGTGAACGAGCGAAAATAAGACGGGGCGAAAATAACCCTGTATACAGTAACGGATTTTGAAATATCTATTCTGAAGGATGATCTTACGCCTTTTTGAAAGCATAATAATGTTTTTTACTCCATGTTATTATGCTTTTAATAGCGACCCCTTGCAACTAAGTTACCAAGGATATTTCAATATTTCCATTCATTTATCTCTGTTCATAGAGAATAGGTTATAATTTTTGTATCACACGTAACAGAAATCGCAAAAGACCACAAATTTGACAGCATTGTGATAAACATTGGCAATCATTATAATACCCATTCCGGAACATTCACTGCTCCTCAACATGGTGTGTATATGTGTTTACATGGAACCTTTACTGTTTTATGGTGGATGGTTATATTTTCCCGCAGGATGTTGTCAACTCTAATGTTTCTCATAGAGAAAATGTTGATTTTTGTATCACATGTAACAGAACCAAACATGAACATAAGTTACATTTATAGATGGTTCATCTGGCAGAATTCCAAGCCTGGATAACTTGCGTCTGACAGGCCTTTACA